TCACGATCTCGCGGTCCGTGAGTTCGAGCCCCGCGTCAGGCTCTGGGCGGATGGCTCAGAGCCTGGAGCCTGTTTCGGATTCTGTGTCTCCCTCTCTCTCTGCCCCTCCCCCGTTCATGCTCTGTCTCTCTCTGTCCCAAAAAAAATAAATAAACGTTAAAAAAAAAAATTTAAAAAAAATGGTTTGGAGATATGGTTTTGAGGACATGACTGTTGTCTTTTACTTATGTGCCAGTCAAATGACAATTTAAAAGAAAAAATTCTTTGGAGGCATCTGGATGGCTCAGTTGGTTAAGCGCCTCACTTTATAGCTCAGGCCATGATCTCATAGTTGGTGAGTTCGAGCCCCACATCAGGCTCTTGGCTGTCAGCACAAAGCCCACTTGGAATCTTCTGTCCCCCTCTCTCTCTGCCCCTCTCCTCCTCCTCTCTCTCTCTCTCTCTCTCTCTCTCCCTTTCTCTCTCTCTCAAAAATAAATAAACATAAAAAAAATACTCTTTGGTTTACAGACCCCCCGGTATTGATAAAAGTAAATGTGCCTGTGTTCTTACACATGAAATTGGATGCATAGATGGGTTAAATGAACCAATGAAAAATTTCCTTTTAATGATTCTGTGGACAGAAAACTCATTTGGTGGGAAGAGAGAAAATTAACTAAAAAAGTGGTAGAAACAGCTAAAGCTGTTATGGTTGGTGAGGCCTATTGTGTGTATACAAAAAGGAAGATGGGAGTGAGAAGAAAGAGGCTGTATAAGAAATAGAATAAGGTTTGATAGAATGATAGGTATTAACTAAGAGTAAGAAGATATCCCATATCCCTTCAGATCCTATCTTGGGAGAGAGAAAAAACAGGGGGAAGAAGAGGTTTCCAGGTAATTTCAGTATTACCCATGGTAGGGAATTCTATCAGTCCAATAGGATAGACATAAAGATTTTTATTTTGAGGAATCGGTTCATGTTATTGCAGAGGCTGGCAAGTTCAAAATCTGTAGGGCAGGTCAGAAGGATGGAAACTCAGGATTTTTATGTTACAGATTCTTTTCCCAGAAACCTGTTTTTGTAGTTCCGGTCTTCAACTGATTGGCCATGGCCCACCCAGGTTTCAGGATGATCTGTTTTAAAGTCAACTGAATGAAATGTTAATCGCATCTATAAAATACCTTGAGAGCAACATCTAGACTAGTATTTGACCAAATTACTGGGCACCATAGCCTAGTTTAACCATCAGAGGAGCAAATAGAGAATATTTGCTACTACTTTGAAATATTGTTCCTACATTGAATATGAACTGAAAAAAAATTAAGCTAACATATATTGAACTGATAACCACATAGGAAAAAAATTTAATTGTACCATACATCTTTTGTGGGATATATGCTAAAGACAAACACAACAACAACAAAACCATGCAAAGAGATCTCAAACTTTACTTAGATTCATTGAGTGATACTATTGAATTAACTTGGAGACTATTTTGTGAGTACTTGGGGATAGAATGAGTAAGTAAATATATTTGATGGGAACTTCTCTTACCATGGTAGAGGAGACACACAGATGAGAGGAAAATGAGAGGAAAATGAGAAGAAGCCTATCATGGTGGATCTGAACTGGAGGTCTCAGTACAGACTCATGACATTTGTATGTTTCTTCTGGTTCTATGCATTGACACATCATAGAAGCAATGGCTTCCCCATATCAGTGAACACTCCTAGCACTTAAATCTTGGTTTCTGAAATACCATAATCTACTAATTCCTGATTTCAGATCTGGCTGAGGGGACATACAAGCAGATCCTGGAACATTTTGGGCTAGAAGTCAAGAAAATTTTCTAAGACTAATGGATTTGTGTAAAAGAACATAGTTACTGGCTTAGAGGGGCTCTCTTTGGTCAAATCTGTAACAGTTTGGGCATCAAAAACAATAACAATGTTGGATTATAACATATTGAATTAAGACAATCCTTGAGGGGTGCCTGGGTGGCTCAGTCAGGTAGGCGTCCGACTTTGGCTCAGGTCATGATCTCATGGCTCCTGGCTCGAGCCCTACGTCGGGCTCTGTGCTGACAGCTCAGAGCCATTAGCCTGCTTTGGATTCTGTGTCTCCTTCTCTCTGCCCCTCCCCCACTTGCTCTCTCTTTCTCTCTTTCAAAAATAAATAAACATTGGAAAAAAAGTTTTTAATTAAAAAATACATTAAAAAGATAATCCTTGAGTCAATAGTGATACTCAAGAACATCTAGGTTGGGTAAGAGGGGATCTCCTTTATAAAAGAATGCCAGCTAATGAATGTTGAAGAAATGACAGGTTTAGAAATCACCTTTTTGCAAACACAAATTTATTTATTCAGACAAGGACCAAAATAGATGCTAAAACATGGGGTCAAGTGTTGTTTAATAAAAAGATACTCGCCTGGTCTCAAAGTATCAAACCATATGTTACTTATTTAATAGGGCACTACCCCTTACAGTGGAGAGATCTGGAAGATACCACTTTTATGATGTGACCCAACTTAGCATCACCAATGATAGGAGATCCTTTGTGTTTAACCTGGATCTGATCATGAAGAAATAATTAGAGGAGCGCCTGGGTGGCTCAATCGGTTAAGCGTCCGACTTCAGCTCAGATCATGATCTCATGACTCATGAGCTCGAGGCCTGCATCGGGGGTCTCTGCTGTCAGCACAGAACCCACTTCGGATCTTCTGTATCCTCTTCTCTCTTTCTGCCCCTCCCCCCCTCAAAAATAAATATCAAAAAATTTTTAAAGATTAAAAGAAAGAAATAATAGACAATAGACAATACTAGACAAACCAAGATTGTGAAACAAGACTGTGATACAACTGGACTGGCTTCCTTAAAAACGTTAATATCATAGAATATCGATTGTTTGTTCATTTCTTTTAAAGAGGCAGAGAAGGGGCACCTGGGTGGCTCATTTGGTTGAGTGACCAACTCTTGATTTTGGCTCAGATCATGATTCCAGGGTTGTGAGATAAAGCCCCGCATCAGACTCCATAAGTGTGGAACCTACTTAAGATTCTTCTCCCCCCTCCTGTCTCTCTCTCTCTCTCTCCCCCCACCCCAACCCCTCTCCCCCACTCACACACTCTCTCCTCTAAAATAAATAAATAAATAAAATAAAAATAAAGAAGCAGGGGGAAGTTCTAGATTAAAGAAGACTAAAGAAACATGATAATCACTGATTGGATACTGGATGTAAAGAGATAAGTAGAAGATAGATGATAGATGGTAGACAGGAGGGAAGGAAGAAAATAGATGATAGAATTATTGGATCAATTGGGAAATTTTGAACTGGATGAGGTATCAAATTTTCTTGAGCGTGATAATGGTATCAGTGTTATATAGGAGAATATCTTATTCTTAGTAGATATATACTTAAGTAGTTAGGGATAAAGTGCCATGATTAAAGCAACTTACTTTTAAAAACATATAGATAGATTGGGGCACCTGGATGGTTCAGTCATTTAGGCATCCTACTTCGGCGCAGGTCACGATCTTGCGGTTCGTGAGTTCAAGCCCCACCATCGGGCTCTGTGCTGACAGCTCAGTGTCTGGAGCCTGCTTCAGATTCTGTGTCTCCCTCTCTCTCTGCCCCTCCCCTGCTCGCACTCTGTTTCTCTCTCTCTCTCAAAAATTAATAAAGATTTTAAAAATTAATAAAAATAGATAAATAGATAATATATGGAGTGAGAAAAAGAAAACAAGGTGAAATATTAACAATTGGTGAACCTAAGTGAAGGGTAAATGGGCATTCTTTCCATTTTTCTGTGGATTTAAAATTTTTTCAAAATAAAAATATAAACATTTAGGGGGAAAATAGCCACAACAACAGCAAAAAACTTGTGAAATGCATCTAAGACAAACTTTGAGGGAAAATGATAGCTTTCATGTATCAGAAAAGAGTTTAAAAATCAATAACCTACGTACCCATCTTATAATTTGTGTATCTCAAGATGAGTTTTTTTGAAAAGCAACTCAAACTCAACAGAAGTAGAAGAATCAAGATAAAAATAGAAACTAGTGTAAAAGGTTATAAATGTATAATAAAGAAAATCAACAACACTAAAGTTGATTCTTCAAAAAGACACTAAAATTGATAAAACCCCTATCAAGATTGGTCAAGAACAAAGAGAGAAAACACTAATCACCAATACCAGGAATGAAAGAGGACTCACTACAGACCCAACAGACATTAAAAAGGTAATAAGAAAATGATATTGACCACTGTCTGTCAATAAAGGTGACAATTTGCATAAACTGAACAAATCCCTTGCAAAGAATTAACTAAAATGGATACAAGAAGAAATAAAAATGTGATAGTCTTATATTTATTAAAGAAATAGAATCCATTATTGGGGTGCCTGGGTAGCTCAGTCCACAGAGCATGGAACTCTTTTTTTTTAATTTTTTTTTTTTCAACGTTTATTTATTTTTGGGACAGAGAGAGACAGAGCATGAACGGGGGAGGGGCAGAGAGAGAGGGAGACACAGAATCGGAAACAGGCTCCAGGCTCCGAGCCATCAGCCCAGAGCCTGACGCGGGGCTCGAACTCACGGACTGCGAGATCGTGACCTGGCTGAAGTCGGACGCTTAACCGACTGCGCCACCCAGGCACCCCAAGGAACTCTTGATCTCAGGGTCATGAGTTTGAACCCCAAGTTGGATGTACAGATTACTTAAAAATAAAATCTCTAAAAGAAAGTAATAGAATCCATTATTTATTTATTTGTTTATGTATTTATTTATTTTTAAGTTTGTAAAGATTTAAAAATATATATTTAAAGAGAATACAAGTCCTCTTTGAAAGTAGTTAAGATCATTGATTGTGTTGACTTTGTCTCTCCTAATGAAACTTAGGAGAGGTGCATGACATCTCCCTCTACCCTCAAGTGGCCCAGTGTAGAAATCACATTGTTCATGATACCAGACACATTCACAGAGGACAGAACCACACAGACAGGCCCTATTCAAAATGGGAACTAGAAATACGCCAGCGCGTCATGTCTGGCTTTGTGGGTCTGGTAGTTGGACCAGGCCAAGGGCTTGTTTTCCTGTGGGAGACTTTCAAATACTCAAATGTGCACAAACTCATCATCATCAACTTGAACCTTGATGAAATATTTCCTCCCCATGACCACCTGGCTCCTGAACTCCACAGCCTTAAAAGTAGCAAACTTGTTCTTTTCCTGCTCTTCCAGTAGTGGTTTCACATGGTTGGTGATGGTCTGGGTCTCAGCCGTGGCAGACTGCATGGCTGAAGGTGCCCCCATACATCTTGCTGGCAGCTATCAGGAGATGGGCCGAGCGGAACCCAGACCTGAGGTCCCTGCTCTGCTTAAGGCAGGTGGCCTTAGAATCCATTGTTTAACACCTTTACACACATACACAAATAACTCCAGCTCAAAAGTCTTAACCAGTACATTTTTCCAAGCATTTAAAGAGAAAATAACTTGGGCGCCTGGGTGTCTCAGTCAGCTGAGTGTCCGACTTTGGCTCAGGTCATGATCTCGGGTTTCGTGAGTTCTAGCTCCGCATTGGGCTCTCTGCTGTCAGCACAGAGACCACTTCAGATCCTCTGTTTCCCTCTCTCTTCCCCTCCCCCATTGGTTCTCATTCTCTCTCCTCTCTCTCGCTCTCAAAATAAAGAAACATTAAAAAAGACAGAGAAAATAACATCAATCTTAAAAAACAACAGGTGCGCCTGGGTGGCTCAGTTGGTTAAGCGTCTGACTTTGGCTCAGGTCATGATCTCGCAGACTGTGAGTTCAAAAGCCCCACATCGGGCTCTGTGCTGACACTTTGGAACCTGGAGCCTGCTTCAGATTCTGTGTCTCCCTCTCTCTTTGCCCCTCCCCTGCTTGTGTTCTGTCTCCCTCTCTCAAAAATAAACATTAAAAAAAATAACAAAAAAAGCAAAAAAACAACAAAACCTTGTCTCCTAGAGCATAGAAAAAAGAGAACACTTCCCAGCTCTTTTTATGAGGCCACTATAACTTTGATACCAAAACCTGACAAGGACATTATAAGAAAGGAAAAATACAGACCAGCATCTCTCATAAACATAAAGACAAATATCCTAAACAAAATGGTAACAAATCAGAGGTGACTGGCTGACTCAGTTGGTCGAGTATGCCACTCCTAATCTCTGGGTCGTCAGTTTAAGCCCCATGTTGTGTGGGGCTTTTAACTTTTAAAAACAGTCAGCAAATCAAATAAAAATGATATTAAAATCATGAACAAATGGGGTTCTTCCAGGGATGCAAGGGTGGCTTAACAGTCATTGCATATCTTAAAAGACAGAAAAATTATTTGTCTTGATAACACAGAAAATACATTTGAAGAACAACCTGATAGGAAAATGGGCAGAAGATTTTAACAGAAACTTCATAAAAGAGGATGTTCAGATGACCAAGAGTTACTTCCAACCCTCAGCATTAGGCATGGGTTTGTTCATTGTCTGTCTCACCCACCACAAAGGCAAGGACTTTGAACATCTGGGTTACCACTGTGACCCCAGCACAATGGCTGGCAGATAGTAGGTGCTGCTCATCCTATTTGATGAAGCACCTTTTGGGAAGAGAAGCATTCTTGCACCCGCAAGGCCCACTGAGTTGTACTCTGTACACATCCATGTCCACAGGCATAATGGCCGGGGCTCAGGCCACCTGGGCTGGAGTTCCCACTTAGCAGTTACATGATACTGGACACATAACTCAACCTCCCTGAGCCTGGCTCTTTTTTTTTTTTTTTTTTTTTTTTTTTTTTTTTTTTTTTAAGTATATTCTACACCCAACGTGGGTCTCCAACTCACAACTCTGAGAGCAAGATTCCCATGCTCTACCAATTGAGCCAGCCCGGCTCCCGGAGCCTGTGAGTGGGAGCAGTTCTCACCAGTAGAGAGCTAGAGTGCAGAACGATCATGCATTTTGAACATGTTTGGCTTCGAGGAACTGAGAGGCTGCTGTCACCATCACTGCTATCACAAACCCCCAGATGTGCACATTCACACATGCAGGTGCACACTGCCCAGGCAAACAAGTTCTTTCCACAGCCACAGCCCTGAGGGAAGGAAATGCAGTAATTTCCCAGTGAGCTGGCCAGGAGTCCAGAGAACCACTAGGGCCACAGGGGCTGGGAGGGGAAGGAGCTATGAGCCTACTCCACAGTGGGGTCCCCTGCTCGGACCCTGGGTCCTACTCCTAACCCTGAGATGTCAACCCACATCCAATCCAATCTACTGTAACAGTGGTCAGACTGCTGCCATCAAGGGAGCATCTCCTATGGGCCAGGCAATCTTCATGCCTGCCTTTAAGGGTGCAAGTGCCAGCATGAGTCTCATTTCACAGAGGCTCAAAGGCCGCAACAGCCTGCCAGAGTTTCTGCTCTCCCCTGTGCTGAGAGTGAAACCCACAGATCCCTGGATGGGTCGGAGCAGCTGGTAAGACCCAGCTCTCAGAGGCCCATCCCTGTCCCCACCTCCACAGCCCAGTGCTAGCCCAGACTCCAGTGCCCTAAAAGGTGAGTGCTCTGGACCCCACCATCCTCTTCTACGACTACTCCCTTTATCAGTAAAGCTCTGACCTTTACAGGCTGGCTAGGAGCTAGGCAGACATTGGAATCCAGGGCAGGGGGTGGAGGATTCTGAGAAGACCCCACCCTTCCAGCAGCCCAGGACAGTTTCCATCCCTGCAGAGGCCTCCTCCCTCTGTGACACCAGGCAGCTCCCTCCTGTGCAGGCCTAGTTTCTTTATAAATCAAGTGCAGCAATGAATCCCACTGGATTCTGGGAAAAGCAATGAATCTTCCCACCGAGGATCCTGTGGGAGGGCAGGTATTTCTGAGTGGCAGGTATATGTCACAAAGCCAAAAAGCCAACACTACCCTGAAGTTCATGCAGTCTCTCTAGAAGACAAGCACTTGCTCAGAGCCTCAGAACACCCAGTTTGCATGCAAGCCTAACACATTGGGCCATAAGGCTGGAAGATGACAGACTAGAGAGAAAGGAACCTCACTGTCACCGTGTGTCTATTTACCCATTACTCATGGTGCTGGGTCTCTACTCATGCCAACTTTAAGACTCCTCCCCCAGGGGCCCTGGCTGCAGAAATCATGGCCCCAAAGGAACAGACCTGGCACGGTAGGCTAGGAGGAGTTCGGGTCTGGGAGGCCTGCTGCTAAAAGGAGATGGCGGGAGGGAAGCTGGAGACAGCAGGGAGGAAGGAGAGTGGGCTTCAGGCAGGCAGCTCCCTTCAGAGCCTGCAGCAACATGGCCAGGAGCCCTCAAAGGGGAATCTTGGCCAGGAGGACCCCAGCCCAGCCAGGGTCTCTTGACCCCCTGTTCCACAGCAGCTGGGGCCAGCTCCAGGCTCCCTCCCACTCCTGGCTTCTTAAAACAAGAACAGGAAGTTGAGAGTGCTGTTTGACAAGTACACAAAACACCGGGGAGAAACCACATCCGCCCTCCTCACCAAGGAGACTTGCAGGGAAGATCTTGGGCTCAAGAGCAGAGACCCCAACCACAGACCCTCACACATGCACAGCAGGGCATTCCACAGAGAACCACAAGACAAGAACCTCTCCAAGGGGAGACACAGTGGGCCCAAACCCCCTCAAAGAAATGTGGCAGCGGCTCTCACTCCTGGGGACCATGTCCCCAGCACTGGTCTCTGGGGCCTGAAGCCCCTGCCTGGTTTGCAACTACAGCTATGGTTCAGGTGGGCACAACACCTCTGTATGTTCTCCAGAGCATGGGGGAGGGGAGGTTCACTCCCCTCCCATCACCTGGAAGGCCCCTGGGGAGACCAAACAGCCTGTCCCCCACTTGTCACTGAGCTGCCACCTTCAGCCACTGTCATCATAGAAGGAGCCCTGAAGGAGGAGACAGAAAGCCCTGAGAAGAGCCCAGAGGACCAGGTCAGAGGACCAGAGACAGATGAACAGATGCACAGACAGACAGACAAAAGAAGGAAGGAAGGAAGGAAAAGGCAAATTAATGCAACAGAAGGATAAAGCATACAGGAAAGGTGAAGCCAGAACAAAGACAGCCCAGAACACCACCTGCCCAGCAGTGGCTGGGCCAGGACTCGGCCGTGCTCCCCCTTGTGCTGGGACTGTCCCCTCGGTTTATAATGCATTTCTGATCCTGACAGTGATCCATGAGGCAGATATTCCGGGAAGCAGACCCGGCCAGCAGGGAGGGAATGATTTCTCAGGCTTCTTTCTTACAGGCCCGGGCTGGGGGCCAAGGGCCAGGAGGGGCGTCCTGCTATGTTCCGCTCCAGTGGGCAGTGGAAGCCTCTCATGGGCTAGGCTTCCTGGAAAAGAATAGGAAATGCAGGCCCCCTCTCCACCACCCACCTTGCCCCGGCCCCAGACATCAAACAGTCACTGGCTGGGCCCAGGCCCTGACATCAGAAGGGGAGGCTGTGGGGGACATGGTGCTAGCAAGGGCAGATTTCCTAGATCCTGGGTCAGGGTGAGAGACTGGCCTTGGGCAGCACTGAGTGCACCCTGGCAAGCCAGGACTCACCCATACTTCTGGAAGAAAACCCCAGCCTTAGACAATTGTGTGGCTTCTCTGAAGGGCCAGTGCCAGTCATCAGGGTCAGCCCGGGCCAGACCAGGGACACTGTGGCAGTCCCCTCTCGGGGCTTCCCGAGGCCTGGAGCTAGAAGGGACTCACACACCACCTCTGTCAATATCCCCAAGCCCCCTTCTGTCCTCTGCGCACACTTTTCTCCTGCTCTATGCAAGGGTCCTGGGGCTGCCTCCTTGCTGGACTCCAAACTCACGTGACCCCCACCACCAGTGCACACACACATGCACCTTCTCCACACTCTCACCACGGGTCACAAAGTGTCCAGGAGGAGCCAGCCACTGAGAGCCACCCAGCTCCCACCCACCTCTTACTCACCGTCCAATCTCTGAGCAGACCTTGGAGTCAGCGGCGACCGCAGCGTGGGCAAAGGCCTGGGAGCCGCAGTGGGCATGGTGGCGAGAGAGGACCACGGCGGGCACGATGATGGCTAGGGCCAGCCCCAATCCCAGAAGGACCATGCTGACCGTGGCCCTGCGTCCCTGGGCCATGGCTCTGAGGTCCAGGGTGGAGAGACAAGGCAGGTAGACAGACAGATGGGTGGATGAATGAACAAGATGGGCAGATAGACTCACAAGTGATTGGACAGATGAACAAATAGATGGAGGCCAGAGACAGACAAACAAATGGATTGACAGTCCAGATAGCTGGACAAAAGATAGTAAGAGAAGGTTGGACAGAGACGGGATTACAGACGGTGGACAGACAGGTTTACCAACAAACAGAGGCACCCAGAGGACAGGTGGGTGTATGGACGGACAGCTGGCGATGGCAGGGCTGCTGCCCGACTCTAATGCTTGCTATGAGAGGCAGAGCTGGCCACACGCCTGAACTTCCAGTTTTCAGTCCCTGTTCTTGGCCCTGGCGGGAGGCCAGGGACCAGGGCGTTTGTGGGGAGTTTTCCTTCCAGAAAGGAGAAAGCACCGTTAACTCCCTCATTCCCGCAGCCTGCCCCCTGCAAGCCTTGATGATACAAACACCCCTCCTCCCCAGGGCTATCCCAACCCACGTGCTTGAGGACTTGGCACCTACTGCCCACAAGACAGCTGGGGTGCAGGATGCCCAGAGCCCCCACGGCCATTCTCCAGTTCCCAGCAAAGCCAGGACAGCAGGGTTCAGGCCTGCCTGCCCAGTCCCCTCCCCTGGATCAGGCTCAGAGAGACAAGGGGGCCAGAGTGGCACCCCGACTCCTGCCTTCTTGGTGTGACCCTGCCCAGCAACAGCTTGCCCTAGTATCCTCAGAGTCAGAGGACAGTGGAGATGTTTGGGACACAGAGGTAGGGCTAAAGGGGGCCAGAGACGGAGGGAGGGAGGACCTAAGGCGATGTCACTCAGGACCCAGGTTCAAGTCCCAGCTCAGCCACAGCCTAGCCAGGGAACAAGGGTGCTAGGAAGGGGTTCAGCTTCCCAATCTGCATCAAACATCCAGGACTACAAGACATCTATGTGAGGAATGCAGACAGGGCCTGCATCCAGCCCTTGGCACCCACTACCCCTGGGGCCCACTGTCCTAGAAATGCCACCATGGGCCTCCAGAGAGTAAGGCTGCCCTCCCATCTGCCTCTCTGCCCTTCCCTGGCAATGTGTCTGCTTCCCTGTGTCTGTGGTGACAGTGCCTCCTCTCCTGGGGACACTGGCCTAGGCCCTCCCTTGCCCAGACCTCAGGGTGTCCAACAGGGAGGCTGCTGGGGGAGAGGGGACCCTTTGAGTCCCCTCTTGACCAGGCTCACAGGGGCACAGGGTGCAGGGGCCACAGGCTGGACTCCCACTCACAAAGCCCCCATGCCCCCCCACCCCGTATGTCCTCTGTCTTCCTTCCCAGCTGAGTACTGCCCTCCCCAGGCCTCTCTAAACCTCCTGGTATAGCAGAGAAACCATGCCCATTCAGCGACACAGACTGCTGGGCTCTGTCCCAAGCTTCTGGTCAGCCTGGACAGTCTCTCTAGTAGGCCCGTTCCCACAGCTGCCTTGTGGGATGGGGAGGGCTGTGAGCGCCTTTTCCTGCCCCCACTATCCCCCACAGCACAGTGACATTGCTCAACCAGGAAACAAAGTGCATTCCTGGGCTAGTGCCAGCCCACCCGCTAGGAGGCAGGGGCGGCAGAGACAGCAGGTCTGAGGCTTCAGGAGTGGGACATCCCCCCTCCTCTCCCCAGCCATCCTGGTCAGGCTGAGGCCAGGGTGCGAGGGCTGGAGGAACAAAGGCCCAGGAAAGGAAGGAGCATCAAGGTAGGTCTGGCTAGAGATGCGGCTGGGGAGGCTTAGCTGAGAAGGATCCTGAGTATCCATGTCCGGAGGGGAGGGGTAGGAGATGATGGGAAGGAAAGAGAGAGGAAAGCAAGTCCCTCAGCACCTGAGGGAGGCTTCAGCTGAGCCCGTGGGGTCTGGGGAACTGGATGCACTCTGCCCACATGTGGGAGCCCAAGGAGCTTCACCTCCAGCAGGAACAAGACCAGCCCCTCAGGCCTCAGTCTTCTCTTCTGCAAACAGGGCTATGGCCTTTCCTCTGGCACCAAAATGAAGGCTGAGGAGGTTTGCACACCCCAGCAGCCCAGCCTCCATCCTGTCTCCGGGGGACCCCAGCAGTACTACCCTCTGGGGCTCAGGGCCCAGGCTGCAGATATAAACCCCATTTCCTTGTGAGCACTTTGGAAACACTGGGTTTTCCTGCCTTGTGAAGGAGAGCCCAGACCTGGTCTCCCCTGGCCTCTGTGCCCCTGGTCTCAGGGGTTCCCACTCATGTTCACTGGTCAGGGGGACATCTGGCCATCCAGTTGTGACACCCCCTCCCCTGCTCACCCCCTCTAGACTTTCACAGCTCCTCACATCAGGCATCACAACCGAGTGTAGGAGACAAGTTAGCAGACCCCAAGGGAGGGCAGGAGGGGCTGGCCTGTGGTGGAGGGGGCAGGGTGCTGTGCTCCACTGCCCCTCCAGGCCCCGCTCCTGGGCTGCATTCTCTGGCTGCCCGCCAGTCCAGCTCTGACCCTCAGGATCTGGGGACCTTTTCCAGCTCACTGTTCCCTGAGAACTGGGCCTCTTTCTGGAGTTGATCACAGCTTGAATTTCATTCTATTCTAGGTTTGTGCTTGGAAAATCCCCCGGAACCTGACTCTGACTAAGAAGTTTTGCTCCAGCCTCTTGCCCAATCCCACTCTTCAGACCTCAGGTTCACTTCCATGTGTCCTCCACAGTGTGAGCGGGGGCACCCACCAGGCTGAAGAGGTAGCAGAGTTGACAAGCTTTTTCTGCTGGGTGCACTCTGGCCGAGTAAACTCCGGTGCTGTGACACCCCCTGGTGGTTAATGCTGGGAAGTGCCACTGTCCGGGCCAGAAAAGCGGCGACCTGGCCCCTGAGGCTCAAGGTACCAAGGATAATGTTTGGTATGGGTCTGCCCCGCCCCTCACCCACCCTCCCACTGGGCTCTCATGAAAATTCTGAGGCTAGCTCTAGCACCTGAGGGGTAAAGACCTCTGAATCCCACCTCTTCACCCTTCCCCACCTGACAGCTCCATTTCATACACACAGGATGCTGAGGTCCAGGGATATGGGAGCCTGGCTGGCAAGGCTGCCCAGAGCCTGATGGTGTGGCCCCCATTTATTGCACTGCTTTGTCACTCACAGGGGAAGCAAATCCCCTCAAAGTCCCACTTTGGTCCCAGCGGACATCTCATCCTTAGGTCACCAGTCAGCCTTGCCCGCCCTGAGTACTCAGTAGCCAGCAGGCTCCCCGCCTTTCCTGGAATCTGAGGCAGCTGCCCAGCCACCAGCCGTGTGGACAATGGCCTGTACCACAGCGATGAAGTTGGAAGTGACCTCAGCGTGGTGGTGCCGGGTCTTCAGGGCTGCAACCACTGCCTGGAGGTGGGAGGGGATAGAGAGGCCTCAGCAGGGCCCAAGATGCCATGTGAACCACACAGACCCACACTGAAACACACAGGTAGTGCCATTTCTGCCCCAGTGGCCAGGAAGAGCAAGTTGGGGGCAGACGGTCCTATTGGGTCTCACCGGAGCAGGTAGAGTGACTCACATCCCACAGGGGTTCAAGATGGCCCAGGCAGTAGGTGTGAAGGTATCTGCCTCAGGCAGAGGGGCAGTCTACTCCATGATGACTCAGGAGATCCAGGCCTCCCTCCCAGGACACCTTGTGACCCCCACCTTGTGACTATTTCTTTGACTCTTTACCCACCTGGTCAGTGTCTTTCTCCAGGGTCGTGGTGTTAGGCAGAAGCTGGTTGTGCAGTCGGGGCTCCTCTACTGCCCGCTTCACATCGTAGCCAAACCACAGGCTATGGATGATGGCCTAGGGGTGGCGGGGGGGGGGGG